CGCTCGAATCTCAGCAATGCCCATACAGTACAGAAGCTTGCAGCAACCTTACTACAACGTTGCAAGATTGCATATTGCAGTGCAATGTTGCAAAGACTTTGCAGTGACATTAATTTGCAATATTACTTTAGCAATATTGCAGTAATATTTAAAAAAATATTACGAATATAATATATTTTATTTATTTACTAGTTATTTTTGTTACTTGTATTTCAAATTCAGTAATGTTTTACACCAATAATACTTATAGAATAGTACTTAGAATAGCACTCGTTAGTGGCAATCATTAATTTGTCTTATTGCATATTTTTTATACTTCTTATACCGTTTTTTCGGAGAAAATACTTTCTTTAAATTTAATATTCGAACTTGTTTAATTTTGTGGTTTTTTTTTATTTCATTAAAATATTATATTCTTAAACGAAATATCATTTTTTAAAATGATGAAAATAAAACTTTTATTTCGTTATTTCAAGGAAATCATGTTATTTGATGAAACAACACTATTGTTTTAAATAATATTTTTTAAAAGTTTCTCTCAAAATTTAGTAATTCGATCTGTTTAATTTGGATTTTCTTAGATTTTTTAATTTTCTTTTGTTGGATTAATCATTATAACATTTTGTTAAAAATGTAAAAGTAATTATCACTGGTTCACTACATTACATCAATATTCATCGCATATCGAATGTTGCATTGTTTCAATATCTATCAACAAATTACCCAATAAACAACAAATAAAAATTATGTAACTATTATTTAATGTTTGCTAGGTATGTTATAATATACTGTGAACACTACAAGGATATATTATATAATCATGAATTGTAAGAACATCGTTGGTGTCATAAGAGTCACCGTGTGCGCGCTTGATCGTCAGGTTAAGCAACAGTTTAATGCGGTCAGGACATGGATGGTGACCAGCGGTATATCGCTTGGGTTCGAAATTATCGCAGGAGGATTCATGAAAGTTTTGAATGTGTTGACAACCTTCGAAATCTAGTAGTAGTTTATGAGACATGAGAAAATTATGAATATAAGTATATTTTTGTAAACATTATGATTTTCTCATTTTTCACTTTTGCATAATAATTCTCAGTATTTGATTACTATCAATATTTAACAGTGATTTTATTATCAGTATTCACCAGAAATTAAGTACTGGCCAAAAAATTACTGAATTACTGGTAATATTTAATCACTAATAATTTTTCAGTATTTCTTAGTATGATATTTCTATAAGGGTAGTAAATCTTGTCTAGGCTAAATGTTCAATGTGAGCTCTATTATGTAAAAGGCAAGTATTAATTCTTTTACATGTTAACTTTGTTACTAAATAAATATTAAGCTTGTTACTAAATTCCGACTATAACAAAAAGTTAAATAATAAAATTATGTTTAATTGAAAAGATCATTTTATTGTCCCGATTCCAATTTTAGTCAGTCCACTTTTAAAAATTTTGAGTGTGATTGGAGTATACGAAGAATTGAAAGTAAGATACTTAAGTAGAAGTACTTATTTCAGTACTTGGAATATGTTAAAAAGTCATATCATACGAAGGTGACTATCGCACTGCGGCTAGGAAGTTCTTAAAAGGTCTGGTAGCTGATAAACTTTCAATGTCATTTCAAGGTCGGTGGACACATTTTCGGAAAAAATGTTTCAAACATAAGTTTCGTATTTTTCACCGTAGAATCTGAATCTGCAAAAAAAAAATAGGGTATTCCATTTAAAAAACTAAACTTCCGGTCTAAACAACCCACTTCCGGTCAATACTGGAAGTTGAATATAGCACCATTTAATAGAGCGGGCTCGACTTAGTGAAAAAATGTTTTGAATTTTTAATAAAATGTTGATCCCTTTATTTTAAATAGGTGGTACGGGTGATCTGAAACACTGTATATATAAAAAGGAATAAATTATAATACGAAATGTGTTAATCAGTATAATTTCTTTTTCTGCCAAATAACTTTCCAATTCCTGATTTTAAATATTGGTTTAAATTTAATTTGCAACGTTTTATAAAGCTGAATTTAAAAGTTGTTGGCTAAGTATATACATAATTCTTTTTTAATTGTATATATTAATTGTTACGTAATTATTTCCATTCTTAACGTTTCGCGTACCGCCCCTTTTATTGAAGAATTAATTAGAACTTACTTGCTCGCGCTAATGATCCTCTGGTGTTGTCGAATATCCAAGGATGCGGCGTATTTATTCGTTCGGTATTTGTGTTTGGTTCCAACGTTGTCCCTTTCGTAGTCCCTTTTGTAGTGATAACAGTATCCTTTGGACAACAGACTATTGGTTCGAAGCCTAAAAACCCGCAGCTCGTGTCGGGTGTTTTACCTGCTAATAGCTCTTCGTAAACTGACGGACAATTTTGCAGGAGCTTGCATATACCTGACATGGGTGAGTTACTGGAATTGTCAATTATACATCCCTCTGAAAGTTACAAAAAGACCGTTGTCAAAGTTATAAAAATTTTTGTTAACACTTTGATAATCGTTATATATGCATGAATTTATTCTTTCAGTGGTTATCACGGTTTGTTCATAAAGAAATATTTGTTGATAATAACAATATATAATTATAATATCGTAGAGGTTCCATAAAAATAAATTTACGGATAATGTACAAGTAGAATATATACAAGTTCATTGTTTTAGATATCATTTATAAATCTACCGGGGACAACTTTTTCCATAATTAATAGGGCCGTTAAAATACAATATTAAAGATAAAATTATACGTTATCAATCAAAGATCTTTGTTATTGATAAGCGAGACAACAAGAGAATAGATGATTACAATATAAGTGTTAATTACTACATATTTAGAGTATATTTATAAATAAAATTGTATATTTAAGATAAACGAAAAGAAAGATTGAGAAGGTGACTAAGACCAATTTGGAATAATAAAACTTTTGTAAATAAAATAGTACAACATATTTTCAATAAGAAATTTAATATGATATTTGAAGTTTTTGTATTGTAGAAAAATATTAGTTCGGCTTTTATTTTAAAATCGTGTTTTTTGTGATAAATTTTTTTTCAACTTATTGTGAACATTTCAGTTTATTTCTTCATAAAATAGTATCAGATTGATGGAAATAGAAATAAATAGAAATATTTGTTGGAAACAGATAAAAGAAAAAGCTTGGGTGTACAACTTAATTCGGTCCGTTTTTTTGCTTGAAAAACGCATTTATTTGAATGATAAAATGAATTAATACATTATTGAAAGTATTGTCCATCGCTAGCCACTACTTTTTCCCATCTTTCTGGCAATTTATGGATTCCGTCGCGGAAGAAGCGTTCATCTTTTGAAGCCAAGAATGAATCGAGCCAATTTTTGATACCCTGTTCTGAAGTGAAGTGTATTCCAGTCAAAGCGTTCTGCATCGATCGAAACAAATGGTAGTCGGAAGGGGCAAGGTCTGGGCTATAAGGCGGGTGAGCCAGAACTTCCCAT